CCTATATATGAGAGGGAAGAGGGAGGGCTTCTGTCATATAACTTGGAATATAAAATTGAGATACATTTGGGCAAACTAGGGGTATGGAGACAGATGTGTTCAAAACCTGTTTTTGTATATAAAAAGGTATCCAACCTTCGCAGGGTCAAGATCTAAATGTCTCAACTGTAGAGTACAGAAGTGCTACAGATTGGGAGCACCTTGGTGTTCCTGAAGAGAGGCCCACATGGGAAAGTTATAATTAATGGTGGAGATGTGTAAATCCATAGGCAGACTACCAGGTAAAATATTTAGGTTAGTCAGGCCATCAATATGGGAAAAAAAGGGGAAATTATTTAATTAATTTGCCTGAATAGCCAACAGAGTCTTGAGCCTTCAAACTATGTGTCATGAATGGGCTTAAGTTGGATGGATGAACTTTAGGAGGAAGTCACAGTAAAGCTTGAATATGGGTACATTTGCAATTGGGCAACTCTAAAAATACCCAATAACGGACATCAACAGTAGCATGCAGAAGTGAGAGCTGTGATAATTGTGCTACTTTATAGTAGTGTTCTATTTTCTCATTTTTAAACAATAACTACTGTCTATGATAAGGAAAAGTTGTTGCATCTTGCCATAGTGACCTTGTAGAGAGGTCCCCCAGAGCATCCACAAAAGCAGAAAATCTTGCCCACCACATTATTTTAAAAGTGCAAAAAGGTGTCATCAAAGTCCTTCAGTCTTCTTCATTCGTGCCAGGTCCCCTCTCTATAAATGACTCATTTTGGTTTGATCTGAGTCTCACTCTATCAATTTTAGAACTAATACCGCTCACAAAGATTCATTAAATATTCCATTTAGTACTCCCATGTTCCAGTACCACTGTCTTGCATAAGATTGGTCATTCACAATAATATTTAACCCTTTCAAAAATAGTGAACAGAGAGAGAGAGAGGAGCCCTATTTAAGGCCCATCTCCAGCCTAAAACAAAAAAAGAGACCTGTCCCATAAAATAAAATAAAATAAAGTTGCAAATAAATACCTTCTCTTATCAGACTGCCATTGATGTTCTTCTCCACCACTGTCTGCCAGTTGCAGTATAACAGAAAAAAGAGAACCCAGCATCATTCTGTCAACTTGCTGTGAGCCCAGAGCTTCAGTGACATACACCCTGGTGGAGAATCATCATATTCCACCCTAGGCTCAATTCTAAAGAGCATGGTGTTGATGTTATCAGTGCTTATTGCAAAATTGAGAACCACCCACCACCAGAGAAGAGGCAAAGAGGACCCTTTCATAACATGAGAAACCAGAAGACAGAATATTTAAAAAAAATATTGTATGTATTCATCAACTCTCAACTTGCATAGGTACAGAATCAGAAATGTCTCCCTTTTCCTGTGCCTCAACTGGAGCCCCAGATATATTGAAGAGTCTAATGTACATCATTTTGATTGGTAAACCCATTCTTTGGGGTTTTTAAGAAATTATCAGATTCAGATGGGAATTAATGCCAGTATAAAAATAGCAGAGCCCACACATTTGCTAGCTCTCTTGCTCTTAAGATATGTCCAGATTATCCACTAAATAACTTTACAAAGGATTAATTTTATATGTTAAATACAAACTTAAAGCAATGCAAAGTAAAACAAAAGAAAAATCCAATTCTGGAACAACAGTACCACTGGAGTAGGCTGTGCAAAGAACTTATACCTAGAGGCCAGCTATTTAAATGTTTGGTGATGTCATAGAGAAGACTTGCTTAGAATTTATACTGTTCTTTTTAAAGCTGAAAAACTTGGTCCCACTTAAAAGGAAATGCAAATATGATGTCCATTGTAATTCATCAAAATTGTACGATTTTTTCAACACAGATATTCCTTTATGTTTTCCAGATACAGTCTCTTAAAAACAAGACCATTTAATGTTTTCTGTCTTGGAAAAAAAAAATAATCTTTTGTTATATTTTTAAATCCAACACATTCTTGGTATTTTGTCATGAGAATAGTAAAATCTAAATTCCTCTTGCATTTGACAAAACAAATCTGAAGAACCCTTTGCCCCATTAACTATGTTAAAACCATATCACTTTTAGATTGGCAAAATATATCAAATTAAACATGTCATTGTTTAATTTAAAAGGGCTACTTTAATAAATCAATTGTTTTTACATAGACTGTATAAAATCCTTTTGCAGAAGGAATACCAAAGCAATTTAAAATTTTTAACAAAGCAAGTCCATAGTTATTTATGAATGTATGTCTGCACTCTGTTAGATTGCTTCTCTTTATATTTTCTGTGTATTTTTTAATGGTATACTGTTCTAAGTAATTATATATGAGCAAATCCAATTCATGAATGTTCTTGTGTATCTTGCTTTCAGACTGAACCCAATCTAAGTACATACACATGAACTTTAATGGCATCCCAGTCTTAGTCAGTAGGGTTCAATATTGAGTTGGCCCATCCGTTGCAGCTATAACAGCTTCAACTCTTCTGGGAAGACTGTCCACAAGGTTTAGGAGTGTTTATGAGAATGTTTAACCACTCTTGCAGAAGTGCATTTGTGAGGTCAGACACTGATGTCGGACGAGAAGGCCTGGCTCGCAGTCTCTGCTCTAATTCATCCTAAAGGTGTTCTATCGGGTTGAGGTCAGGACTCTGTGCAAGCCAGTTAAGTTCCTCCAACCCATACTCGCTCATCCATGTCTTTAGGGACCTTGCTTTGTTCATTGGTATGCAGTCATGCGCTGGGCTGGATGGAACAGGAAGGGGCTATCCCATAAATGTTCCCACAAAGTTGGGAGCATGAAATTGTCCAAAATGTCTTGTTATACTGATACTTTAAGAGTTCCCTTCACTGGAACTAAGGGACCAACCCCAACCCCTGAAAAACAACGGCACATCACAATCCCCCCTCCGCCAAACTTTACACTTTGCACAATGCAGTCAGGCAAGTACCATTCTACTGGCAACCTCAAAACCTATACACGTCCATCAGATTGCCAAACAGAGAAGAGTGATTTTTCATTCCAGAGAACAAACCTCAACTGCTCTAGAGTCCAGTGGCGGCGTGCTTTACACCACTGCATCCGATGCTTTGCATTGGTGATGTAAGGCTTGGATGCAGCTGCTCAGCCATGGAAACCCATTCCATGAAGCTCTCTATGCACTGTTGTTGTGCTAATCTGAATGCCCACACAAAGTTTGGAGGTCTTTAGCTATTGACTCTGCAGGCAGTTGGTGACTTGCGCTGACCCTGCTCTGTCATTTTACATGGCCTTACACTTCATGGCTGAGTTGCTGTTGTTTCCAGTTTCTTCCACTTTATTATACTACCACTAACAGTTGACTGTGGAATATTTAGTAGCAAGGAAATTTCAAGGATGGACTTATCACACAGATGGCAACCTATCAGGGTACCAGGCTTGAATTCACTGAGCTCCTGAGAGTAACCCATTCTTTCATAAATGTTTGTAGAAGCAGTTTTCATGCCTAGGTGCTTGATTTTATACACCTGTGGTCATGGAGGTGATTGGAACACCTGAATCCAATGATTTGGAAGGGTGTCCCAATGCTTTTGGAAATATAGTGTACATATATAAATATTTACAGTAAGAGTTGGGTTTCCCATTCCTTTTAAATAACTGCCTCTTATGACTCAGTTGATGAGGAAACAAGCTATGCACTGCATTATTGGTTGTTCCTTACTTATGGGGCAGAACCTGAAAACTAGTCAGGCCATCCATCCAAGTTGGGGATTTACTGCAAATTTATGGGAACAGAAACCCAATCCTCATCCCTAGAAGTACCCAAGGGTCACAAAAACATTAAACATTATCCTAGAAGCATGAAAGTAAGGATTTTTATTAGAGCCATGAACATGAATTTTGAAGGATACACATTGTTATCAACACACTATAAACACTAAAAAAATGCCAACATGAATTAGCTAAGCTGTCATTTGGTTGTATCATTTAAAGTTCAGTCCAATCTTTGAACTAAATTAATACACTTTCAGTAGCACATCATTCAGATAACAGTAGTTTTCTAAAGTCTCTCCTCTCCTGAATCACAACACATTTTTGCAAGTTATAACTCATTGCAGGTGTGTTTTTCAGCTTTAGGAAGTATTTATATATTATGTAGTAGATTCCAAAGCTGTACATTGCATAACATACATTACTTCTATATTTTCTTACTCTTTTTTGACACTGTTTGTGACAAATTACCTAATCAGTCTGTCTGGGAACACACAGAAACTTTAATACAGTTTATAGAACAAATGACAGCATTATATTTAAACAGCAATAAGGAAATTCCAAAGCATCCAACTACTGGATGAGCATCAAAAGAAGAAAAACTTCTGGAACGATAAACAGGAAACAATAATAATGCAACTATTTCAATGAAGAGCAGAACATTTCATTTTGTTTATAATGATATTTATTATAATTTCTGTTGCAAAACTAAGGAGAATTCCTGCCAATTCTTCATCCTAGACACCTTCAAAACATATGTATCAAAAAAATACTATGTATATAGCAAAACTTTAGACATAACTACAGCGCCTCATGTATTTATTTGTGTTCAAATTGCAAACTTGTACAGAAACTTGCAACAGTTTTAGATGGAAAAATCCTTCATCAGACCTTAAATATATAACTAATGGTGCAAAGTATTTTAATGCATGAAAGGACCAAAAGTACCTCATGTGAAAAGTAAGCATAGTAACTAGAGATGAGCGAATTATTCAAAAATTCGATTCGGCTGATTCGCCGAATTTGCGGAATAAATTTGATTCGATGCGAATTTATTCGCTGCGAATTTAACTTATTAAAAGGGTTTCTAGGCTTCAGAGAGCATTTATATTAGTGCAGAACACTGTACCTTTAATTTAAATGCCCTTGGAGTCTGCTGGGGAAGAGAAATAATACTGTCAGTCAGTATGACATGCAGATGAGTGCCGTCGATCTTAGAATCACCGCACACTTCACTCATTTGGGCAGTCACGGGGCCAAAACCAGAGTGTGGAGCCACAGTGTGGCGGTGGAGGCAGCAGCAATGGGAGGCCATACAGCACCCTATGACAAAATGGAAACCACCAGCAGTGTGAGGAGACCTGAAAGTGGCACATGGCAGAGTGTGGCGATGGAGACAGCAGCAATGGGAGGCCGTACAGGGACCCATGACACACTCTGGACCTGGCAGCAGCATGAGGAGGCGGTACAGGGGCCCATGGCAGAGTGGCGAAGCGTAAGCAGCTTAAATTGAAGGCCATACAGAGGCCTATGTTAAAAAGTCCCCCCAGCAGCAGTGTGTGGGGAGACGACTATCAAGAGTCCAATGGCAGAGTGGCAGAGCAGAAGCAGCTTCAATTGAAGAAGAAGAGGATGAGGATGAAGAAGAAGAAGAAGAGGATGAGGATGAAGAAGAAGAAGATGAGGATGAAGAAGAAGAAGCAGAAGAAGAAGAAGAAGAAGAAGAGGATGAGGAAGAAGAAGAAGAAGAAGAAGAAGAGGATGAGGATAAGAAAGAAGAAGAAGAAGAGGATGAGGATGAAGAAGAAGAAGAAGAAGAAGAAGAGGATGAGGATGAAGAAGAAGATGAGGATGAAGAAGAAGAAGAAGAAGAGGATGAGGATGAAGAAGAAGAAAGAAGAAGAAGAAGAGGATGAGGATGAGGAGGAAGAGGATGAGGATGAAGAAGAAGAGGATGAGGAAGAAGAAGAAGAAGAAGAAGATGAGGATGAAGAAGAAGAAGAAGATGAGGATGAAGAAGAAGAAGAAGAGGATGAGGATGAAGAAGAAGAAGAAGAAGAGGATGAGGAAGAAGAAGAGGATGAGGATGATGAAGAAGAAGAAGAAGAGGATGAGGAAGAAGAAGAAGAAGAGGATGAGGATGAAGAAGAAGAAGAAGAAGAGGATGATGAGGATGAAGAAGAAGAAGAAGAAGAAGAAGAGGATGAGGATGAAGAAGAAGAAGAAGAAGAAGAAGAAGAAGAGGATGAGGAAGAAGAAGAGGATGAGGAAGAAGAAGAAGAAGACGAAGAAGAGGATGAGGAAGAAGAAGAAGAGGATGAGGATGAAGAAGAAGAAGAAGAGGATGAGGATGAAGAAGAAGATGAGGATGAAGAAGAAGAAGAAGAGGATGAGGATGAAGAAGAAGAAGATGAGGATGAAGAAGAGGAAGAAGAAGAAGAGGATGAGGATGAAGAAGAAGAAGAAGAAGAGGATGAGGATGAGGATGATGAAGAAGAAGAAGAAGTAGTAGAAGAAGAAGAAGAAGAGGGTGAGGATGAAGAAGAAGAAGAAGAGGAGGATGAAGAAGAAGAAGAGGATGAGGATGATGAAGAAGAATAAGAAGAAGAAGAAAGAGGATGAGGAAGAAAGAAGAAGAAGAAGAGGATGAGGATGATGAAGAAGAAGAAGAAGAAGAAGAAGAAGAAGAAGAGGATGAGAATGAAGAAGAAGATGAGGATGAAGAAGAAGAAGAAGAAGAAGAAGAAGAAGAGGATGAGGATGAAGAAGAAGATGATGAGGATGAAGAAGAAGAAGAAGAGGATGAGGATGAAGAAGAAGACGAAGAAGAGGATGAGGATGAAGAAGAAGAGGATGAGGATGAAGAAGAAGAAGATGAGGATGAAGAAGAAGAAGAAGAAGAAGAAGAAGAAGAGGATGAGGATGAAGAAGAAGAAGAAGAAGAGGATGAGGATGAGGAAGAAGAAGAAGAAGAAGAAGATGATGAGGATGAGGATGATGAAGAAGAAGAAGAAGAAGAAGAGGATGAGGATGAAGAAGAGGATGAGGATGATGAAGAAGAAGAAGAAGAGGATGATGGTGAGGAGAAGAAGAAGAAGAAGAAGAAGAAGAAGAAGAAGAGGATGAGGATGAAGATGAAGAAGAAGAAGAAGAGGAGGATGAGGATGAAGAAGAAGAAGAAGAAGAGGATGAGGATGATGAAGAAGAAGAAGAAGAGGATGAGGATGAAGAAGAAGAGGATGAGGATGAAGAAGAATAGAATGAGGAGGAAGAAGAGGATGAGGATGAAGAAGAAGAAGAAGAAGAGGAAGAGGATGAGGATGAAGAAGAAGAAGAAGAAGAGGATGAGGATGAAGAAGAAGAAGAAGAAGAAGAGGGTGAGGATGAAGAAGAAGAAGAAGAAGAAGAAGTAGGATGAAAATAAGAAGAATTCCATTCCAGCAAAAAGTGTATCTGCAGGGACCGCAGAGAGCTCCGCTATTTCTGACAGTTCTCTGACAGTTCCTTCACATTTACAGCGGTTGAAACATTGTATCTATTTGTTTCCGAATAAAAAACATCTGTATCCTAAATGGAAACAAATAGATACAATGTTTCAACCGCTGTAAATGTGAAGGAACTGTCAGAGAACTGTCAGAAATAGCGGAGCTCTCTGCAGGCCAGGACACTTTTTGCCGGCTGTAGAAGGGATGAAAATCGGCCGTCCGGGGAAAATTCGATTTGCACATCCGAAGTTTGCTAATTTTCGGATTCGGTGCGAATCGAATTTTTCCTAATATTCGAAACGAATTCCACTTCGCCAAGTTCGATTCGCTCATCTCTAATAGTAACTATGTTACTATCTACAATACAATATATCATCATGAATGGAAATATAAATGGAAATTCTGGATAATTCATCACTGTATAGTAGATCAGAACCACCTGCAAAAAGATTGCTTCTTGTGATCTGTAGAATTAAAATATAGATCCGTTTATATCCTACTATCAGTAATACAAACACTTCTCTCCAAGAAGGGAAGAGATTCTCCAGTATATGTAAGATTACATTTTAGACCAAGTATTAACTGATTAGGGTCTGATAAAATTGTAAAAGGAAATAGCAGTCTTTTCCCTTCATATATGACCTTCAAAAGAGGTCATCAATATATCAATATTACTGATACCAAAAAGTGCAATGTTCCCTGAACAGAACTTATATATGTACAGTATGTACTTACATTCAACCATGTCCATAAATGATTTGAAAATAAACAAAAATTAACAGTGCTGCCTATATATCAAGTAATATATAATAAATATATAGACAACACATATAAAGTCCACAAACATGTGTCTGTGTATCGTGATCACTCCAATAACAAAGGTGACACACTGTAGTGCCTCAAAGGAAAAATGCTTTCACAAAAATACATTCATGTGGATTCCCACCTCACTCATCAGATTCATCAGATGGAATTGACCCCTTATTTTTAGCAAGCAAGTCAAAAAAGGCTTGTGTACATAAGACCAGGAATAAATGGCAGTCAATTCCTCCACAGATTTTCCTTTAGCTCTATAATGCACCATTGCCCCACAAATTACCTGTCAAGCTAGTTGTTCACATGAATCATACAAAGAAAATGATCTCCACATAGTGAAAGTATGTTTATTTTTTACAAAGAAAAGTTGCACTGCACTTACATTTTAAAAAAAAGTCATCCGCCTGTAGTGAACTCGGAAGGCGCCATCATCCTGGATGGCTGCTGAGCAATTCCAATTCCAGAAAAGATGTTACCCGGAAGTACCGCCCTACGCGGTAGAACACCCTGTGTACATAAACTACTACTCTAATTATTTATGGGTAATAGATTCCATTGTTTGCATCATATCTCCTTTGTAGTTAAAACAAGTAGTTGTTGTACATAAGCGGTATTGGGTGGAGGGGTGGTTCCTTGGGTAAATATGCAGTAAGATGGAGGCTGGAAGACCTGGCTCCTAAGGATGTCAACTGTTGATAACAAAATGTGTAGGGTGGTACTTCTGGCTGACATCACATCCAGAACCAAACATTTGCAGTGGTCATCTTAAATGAAGGTGCCTTCCAAGTTCACTAAAGGCTGATGACAATTTTTTAAATGTTAGTACAGTACAATTTGTCTTTGTAATAATAAAACATATATTTTCACCATGTGGAGATCCTCTTCTTTGTATGATTCATGTGGAGAACAATTGGCTTGAGAGGCAGTTAGTAGGGCAAAGGTGCATTATAAAGCTGAAGGAAGATCTGTGGAGGAATTGACAGTGGCATATTCCTGGTCTTATGTAAACAAAACTTTTGAGGGCCAACTCCATCCAATGAGTGAGGTGTTAATCCATGTGAGCTGTCTTTCCATGGAGGAATGTCTTTGTGTGAAAACACTTTTTCCTTTGAAGCACTACAGTGTATCACGTTTGTTTTCAGAATGATCAGTATACACGAACACTTTATATGTGGGCTTTTATATGTGTTGTCTATACATCTATATTATACTTGATATATAGGCAGCGCTGTTAATTTATTTTCACTACTTGGTGTTTGTCACAACAGAGCATAACAGCTACCTAACAATATACTGTAAGGTGTATGTCCCAAGTTTCAGATTTCACCATTGAGCTTGGGCATTTATAGATTTGTCATAAGTGCTTTGATATGGGAAAGGAAGGGGAATTATATCTGTTCAGTAGGTGCAAAAAATACCTGCTCATCCTGCCAACAAAACAATTGATTACTGTCCATGATACTTTTTTATTAGCACTAATATCCACATTTTTAGGATAAACTTTTGGGGTTAACCCCTTCGTCAAATTCCAAGCAGTACTACTTTCTGTGTTCTCTGCCTCTGTTGCCTCTACTACACTGTTATGGATTTACTGCCAATATCACAGCATTTTATTCTCATTGACCATCAATGTAAGGGCATTCTTCCTCTCAAGGACAATAACATTATGCATTACCAGCCAGCCACCCCCTGCCAGCGCCAGACTACTGATACAGGGATTTTCTTCCTCCCATTGACAACAGACTGCTGCATTTTTTCCTTACACTGATTACTGACACTGGTGCACTATTTCCTTCCACTAAGGCCAGGCAGTTAGTCACCTCATTGACTACTGATACTAGGGTATTTTTCCCTCCCCTTGACACTAGGGAATTCTTCTTTGCATTGATAGCAGATACTTTTTTCCTCCCACTGACCCCCGACACCAGAACCCCCGCACCAGTTTAAGCTAAGGTTCTTTTTGTGTAGCATCAACCAGCAACGTAAGGGCATCCTGTGATACATACTTCTGACCCCTGCACTCTGTACACTATATTGTATTTTTGCATAGCTCTGACCACTACACTCTATAAGCTGTGTAGTGTGGTGCATGGACCAGTTCTCTACATTCTGTACACTATGTTGGGTTACATAGTCCTTAACAAAGTGTTTATTGTCTCAACACTTGCTGATTGCTTTTAAGTTTCCACCTTTTTTAGCCACACTTATTTGCTGTTAGTTAATCAAAACACTGAAAAAATAAGGATGCTTTATTTTTAAAAAAAAATCACATAAGTATATTGCTTGTGTTACACTCACAGGCCACTTTATTAGGTACACCTTGCTAGTGCTGGGTTGGACCCCCTTTTGCCTTTAGAACTGCTTCAATTCTTTGTGGCATAGATTCAACAAGGTGTTGGAAACATTCCTCAGAGATTTTGGTCCATATTGACCTGAGTTACTGTTGCCTTTCTGTCGTCTTGAACCAGTCTGCCCATTCTCCTCTGACCTCAGCAAGGCATTTTCATACACACAACTGCCGCTCACTGGATATTTTATCTTTTTCGGACCATTCTCCGAGTCCCAGTAGATCAGTAGTTTTTGAAATACACAGACCAACCTGTCTGGCACCAACAACCATGCCACATTCAAAGTCACTTAAATCCCCTTTCTTCCCCATTTTGATGCTTG